TTGTAGCTAGTGATCTTTTGCTCCCAATAAATTCATTATCGCATAACATTAAGATGTGTCCCCTAACATTCAAAAAATAATAACCGTACACGGAATTAAAACTAAGTTTTTGGATGTACTCATTGTGGATCCTAACAGACAAATAACAAATCTCGAGTTGATTTCTTATTTCTGAAAAATCCTTAGTAAGCTCAGGATTGCCAGCACTGCATCCTATATGAGACAGTTTAAAAAGGAATAATTCGCTCGTCAAAAATCAAATAAACCACATAATTTAGTTCCTGCTACTTGAATAGGCACACTACATTTTAGTGAGGACAAATGGTAATAAGTACATTATTTATCACCTACAAACCACATACTCTATGCTTAACTTAAAAGCCAGTAAACATCCAAGTAGGAAAATTATTAATTTACAACAGACAAAGGGAATAACCTCGAGAAATACCCAAAAGATTTATCAGTATGCACTGAATGTAATGACGCCAGAAATTAACATTTAAAATGGGTGCATAATTACTTGATTCTTAATACAGATAATAAAGCATTTTCTCAATTCCATCCAATTCATATATTCCTTTTATGTTTCCTAATAAGCTAGACCCTGATTAATGACAACCAATTTAATTATCTCATCTATAAATATATATAGTTAAATATGACTGTATACTGTTTCTGTTTCCTTAGATTAAACTAAATATCTACATTAGTAAATAGTTCATCAGTCATAAGCAACGTAGAATGTGACACATGTGGATCGGTTTAAGCAGTAATTCCATATAAGCACAGCTAGATGCTAGCGACAGAAATAATAGCAATATCCGGGATAGTTAAAAAAAATTAAGCGTAGATATTAAGATTTGCAAAAATATAAGTTCGTGAAATAAAAAGGATAGGCCAATCTTAAAACTCAGAATTTAAAGGAAGATAGAGTCGGCGTATCACTGTCGTTGTGACCCGTTCCGAGCCACCTCACTGAACGTCTCCAAATATTGCTTACAATAATTGCAGAAACTTCAGTCAGGTAATCTAAACCCACCAACATGACTCATTACAACAGTCAACATCTTTACGAACTGATAAAAACTCTTGATCTCGCAGCACACAGCTTCCCTCCAACTTACTCCTACAATAACTAACATTCCATGCTCATTAGTCCGACTAATAATGTCTCTTTACTAGTCGTTTGACTGAATCAAAGCCTAAGTTTAAAAAAGATAGGCTTACAAAGAAAACCTAAGTAGCTAGGAATTAAATGATATTACTTAATCAGACCAATTAAAACTCTATTCATTCACTTTAATAAAGAGAAGTTTCAAAAAAAAAAAAAGAAATTACTCTGATAGTTGTATCACTTGTAAAAAATCCCATGAACACTAGTGTTTTTCAAAGATATCATTGACAATATTAATTAGAATGAAAAACGAGATTCATTTTAATTACTGGATCCGTCATCATTTAAAACATCTATGTCGTTTTAATAATCCATAAAAGTACGTACTAAACTTTACTGACACTTTTGCATTTCCCTAAAGGATTTTTGCTTTCTCTCAGATCTTATTAACAAAAACGCTTTATATAATGACTAAATTTCTAAATTACCGAACAAGTTAAAATACATTAGCTCTAATATAACCCTTAAAAAACACGACGTGAACATGTACATGATCTGTTTTACATAATAATGCATGAATCGTCATCAATAACTCATTATGTACAAGTTCATTAACTAGGCCTTAGTTCAAAGTATTGATTAACCGGCTACGAGCGTGTATTTTGAATAAACGATTGGGTAATCGAAACATTATATAACTCAGGAGGGGTTTTTGTGGAGATTGTAGTAATCTCAATAGTTGAGATCATGAGTCAATTAAAGCTAGACAACCATAGAAAGCCTGGAAGCAATGGACGGTCGTTCCGTCCCAGTGTGGTACTCCTCAGGAGTGCACATCCAGTATCCCGCCTCGCGGGTTTCGAACCCAGGACCTATCAGTCTCGCGTGAGAGCGCTTAACCACTAGACCACTGCGTCGGTATACAACGATGTTATGTAACTGTTGGGAGTATTAAACTTAATCCTATTAACATGGCTAGGCTGATCACTGAAACTTTCAATCGATTATTTAAAACCTTAAAACTATTATCTAGCTACTACTAAGTTCATTTTACAAATTTTTAGCTTAGCCGGTAACATTGAATGTTTACATTTTTACCACAATGATGACGTGTTAAAACAGTCAATGGTCATTTTTTAACATTGCATGGATCGTTCATATTTATTGAAAAATTTTCTAGCTACAACGATATATATATATATATATATATATATATATATATAGGAAAATTTGTTTTATTTTCTAGAACCTGTTCAGGCTGGAATTTCCCGACCAGTCCCCTTATATAACTTGATCGATTCACTGAATTCAATCATATCTGGTATTTTACCAAACAGACCAAGTTGTTGTAAAAATGATTTATCTTGTTGAGAAAGTTGAAAAACAACATGAATTACAATACCAGTTCGATAAATATATGCCCGGTAGAGTTTCTCAATCAAGTGGAATTCATAACTAATTACAATTTTTATTCTAGTATTTAAAAATCTGAATGTATATATACCGAGTGATTTAGCATAATTAAATGGGATCTAAATGCAGATCATTGTATTCCAACTTGATCGTCTGAAAAAGTCGTGTGCTCTGTATAATTTTAAAGTTTTAGGTTTAATAAGGTTAGGTTAGTCAGTGTTCAACAACGACAAGTACCAAATAATGATAACAGAGCTATCTAGTATCATTATTTTGAAATAACACTATAATGAAAATTACATATACATATAAGTTTGTAGGTATCATTACCAAGGTTTGATTTGATAATTTCGAATAAATTGAGCATTGGGTAGATTGTTATAAATACGAGAATTCTCTGAAGAAGTGGCTTACACTAAGTCACGAAACGTCAGAAAATCTGATTTTTCTACTCATTGGGATATTACAAATGTATTATTTATCTATATACATATAAGTAACTTTTCTTTGTTTAACCACTAAACTGTACCACCAAACATTATCCAAATGTTACATTTCGTTGGTTACTAAATACTCTGCTGTTTATAATGTGCTTAGTATCAACTCTTCCAAGTGTAGTTTTAAGCAACATAAGTTTAAAATTATTTAACAATAAATAATGTCATTCTGTTAAGTGTCATACTACATAAAACTTTCAGCCGGTTATCTTCAACCATTCAATACGTACTTATAACTTTGGTAGATTATGTAAATTTTTGTCAGAAAAATATTATACCAGCTGTTATAACTAGTTAACAACATTTAAAGTGTGTATTTTAAATTCATTTATTCAAAAGTCAGACATTGAAAATATTGCATGATAATGTTGGGGGGGGAAGGGAAAGAAGTTTCCGTATATAAAATATAACTACTGGTTTGTTCATAGTTTCTTGTAAATAGAATGCTTCCTTAAATGAATGTATGAATGTCTATATGTGAAACTGAAAGAAATGAATTTTGAACTTGGTATTCATTGGGAGATTTATCATAAATTGAACTCTTATTTGGATATAATTAGATAAAAGATATTATATTCATTCACTTAATTAAGTAGTAATCATTAAATATTGTAAATTATGTGTAAAAAAAGAGGACATAATTTAAAAGTTACTGGGTTATGATAAAATATTTCCACAGATAATCCCATATTGAATTATCTTGAAATTTGTAACCGGTTAAATAAACAATATTAGTTTTATTATTTACTGAAGCGAGTTATCATACCTAAATATATGAATGTTGTATAACTGATGGATAGAAATACATTGAAATGAAATATATTATACTTAAACTTTAATTATTAGGTAGCACTTCAATTTTGTTTAGGTCACACCAGCTCACGATGGATAAGTTTTTTCTTTTGATTCTAACTCGGACTGTTATTTAAAACATTATCAACATGTAAATGTGGATAATTTGTGAATCAAAAAGTTAATGTGGCATGAAAGATTGATCAATTCGTTGCTGAACTTCAGCAAACAAAAAATGTCAAGTACAGAGATTATAAATAAGACTGATAGGCCCTGGGTTCGAACCCCGTGATGCGGGATACTGGATGCGCACTGATGAGGAGTTTCACAATAAGACGAGATGGCCATCCAGTGCTTCCAGGTTTTCTATGGTTGTCTAGCTTTAACTGACTCATGATCTCAACCATTGAAATTATGATTTTTAGTTGATAACTTACATTCTTGATTATCTATTTCTACGGATTAAAAAAACCTATAAACCTTATATTTTAGCAGGAATGTGTCTTTTGTAGAATTTAGCATCTTAAATTAGAGGTGGAATGAAACTGAAGTGCACTTGATTCAGGTGTCATGGATCTTGCACATTTTCTTGATCATACAGAAAAATTATTGGGATTTTTCTCTATACTTTCAATGAATTCTCATCATATTTTATTCCAATCAAACCGAATTAAAGATTTATACGAATATTCGTCAAGATTAGAACGAATAGTTTGACAGTAATTAGGCCCCGAGTATAGAGAAGTCTGGACGAAACGTTGGAATTATTTAAATTTCAATCGCTGACAATATTTCAAATATAATTTTCACATTTACTGACAAATTAAAGATTGTTATAAAAGTAAAACCCGTAGCACGTGTAATTCATTTTTATAAAAACAAATTAGGTTTTAGTAAGTTGGGTGGGATCTGTCATTCAAAACATGACAATTGATGTATCGATAGTTGATTTACAATTTTAAAGCTTGTTTTTATCATACTAACCGAATATGAATATGATGAAATAACTTACACTTAGCCACAAAAAGTTAGAAATTCAATTTTTTTGCCCACTGAGACATTATAAATTTGTCTTCATTTTTTATCAATAACAGTCTTGTGCAAATCAAACCTAGGTAATGATATAAGCATTTTAAAAATTTGTTCCATTACTAATCGACATGACTAAATAACATTTAACTCACTCACTAAATTTTGTTTTCATAACACTTGAGTTATTATGATGTTTAAAATTCAGTTATTGGTTGATTTGAACTAAAGATGAGTCCCATGTGCGGGATCGTCGATGCGCACTTCTGAGGAGTCCCACACTGGGATAAAACGGCCGTCCAGTGTTTCCAGGTTTTCAGTGGTGGTCTAGCTTAGATCGACTCATCAATTCAATTGTTACAATACTACAATCTCCGCAAACTCCCATTCTGACAAAGATGATCAGTCTGATAATGAAGACAAATATAACTAAATACTCAGTACTCTTGGTTTTAGAAAGTTGTAAGCTTTAGAATTGTAGTAATATATAAATAACATCATTAGATGAAGGTGTCAAACGACAAATAATTCTTGTCTTGAATAATGTCATTTTACTACTTATGAGTATTTGTATGCAATAGACCCATAACCATCACGGAATAATCTAAGTTAACAATAATACTTCACTGCTTATTTTACAGTTCAAATATTGGATTAACCATCTAGTTAAAAATAGAGAAACGTTCACATAAAGAGGACCAGTAAAGTATACTAGTTTATTGTACACAGTAAAATCATCACCACTAGATGGACTAGATAAAAATCAAGGTCAAATAGTTTCACCCTACTTGCTCTTTACTATTAATCCATACAAGCATCTGAACATTTATAAATACATTTCAAATATGGAACTACTTAATGATTTAAAGCAGTCAGTCCCTTTGATAAATTTAAATTAATGTAATCTGATAATCTTCGTCTTCTTATTGTACTTACTGATCGCTCTTGATTTACGACTATTGAATAGCGAATATCCCTTTGATTGTTTTTATAAACAAGGATAGATTTCCATTAGCATAGTATAATTATAGTAATAATTATTTTATTATACAAGTCATGACCCGATTCTAATTCCAAGCCAATAGCTACTTGATCATTGAACAGTGATAATAATACAAACTGTAATTAACATAACTTACATGTTTGACACATTCAGTAAACAAATGATCCCATAAAACAGTATTCAATCAGTTTTAATACGAACTAAGTACTTTTTCTTAACAAAAATTCAATTGTTATTTTTGATCATTTTCTTCAGTAAACATGTAATAACCACAATAATCCTCAGTAAGTCCACAAAACAATTAATTACTAACAATAGAAGTAATTACACTGATATTACTGTTAAGTACATTTCCGAATGAATCAATTATATCATTGATACTCGTAACATGTATTTACTATGCCAATTTATGACATTATGCCTCGCTTCCATCGATTTGAATCGTTTGTGAATCATCTTGTGCTATTTTACCTGTGTATACAGTAGGAAGTTATTAAAATTCAGTTATAATTATAGTTATTGCTATTACTTTTACATTCAAACATAAGCATTTTCATACATACATGCAACATATATACATATACGTACATACATACATACAAAAGGCACCCAATTATATAACACACATGTATGTGCCTGTAAACTATCATTTTCGTATTCATATATGCCTGAAATAAAAGTATGAATGTCTACAAATTTTGTTTTCATAACACTTGAGTTATTATGATGTTTAAAATTCAGTTATTGGTTGATTTGAACTAAAGATGAGTCCCATGTGCGGGATCGTCGATGCGCACTTCTGAGGAGTCCCACACTGGGATAAAACGGCCGTCCAGTGTTTCCAGGTTTTCAGTGGTGGTCTAGCTTAGATCGACTCATCAATTCAATTGTTACAATACTACAATCTCCGCAAACTCCCATTCTGACAAAGATGATCAGTCTGATAATGAAGACAAATATAACTAAATACTCAGTACTCTTGGTTTTAGAAAGTTGTAAGCTTTAGAATTGTAGTAATATATAAATGACATCATTAGATGAAGGTGTCAAACGACAAATAATTCTTGTCTTGAATAATGTCATTTTACTACTTATGAGTATTTGTATGCAATAGACCCATAACCATCACGGAATAATCTAAGTTAACAATAATACTTCACTGCTTATTTTACAGTTCAAATATTGGATTAACCATCTAGTTAAAAATAGAGAAACGTTCACATAAAGAGGACCAGTAAAGTATACTAGTTTATTGTACACAGTAAAATCATCACCACTAGATGGACTAGATAAAAATCAAGGTCAAATAGTTTCACCCTACTTGCTCTTTACTATTAATCCATACAAGCATCTGAACATTTATAAATACATTTCAAATATGGAACTACTTAATGATTTAAAGCAGTCAGTCCCTTTGATAAATTTAAATTAATGTAATCTGATAATCTTCGTCTTCTTATTGTACTTACTGATCGCTCTTGATTTACGACTATTGAATAGCGAATATCCCTTTGATTGTTTTTATAAACAAGGATAGATTTCCATTAGCATAGTATAATTATAGTAATAATTATTTTATTATACAAGTCATGACCCGATTCTAATTCCAAGCCAATAGCTACTTGATCATTGAACAGTGATAATAATACAAACTGTAATTAACATAACTTACATGTTTGACACATTCAGTAAACAAATGATCCCATAAAACAGTATTCAATCAGTTTTAATACGAACTAAGTACTTTTTCTTAACAAAAATTCAATTGTTATTTTTGATCATTTTCTTCAGTAAACATGTAATAACCACAATAATCCTCAGTAAGTCCACAAAACAATTAATTACTAACAATAGAAGTAATTACACTGATATTACTGTTAAGTACATTTCCGAATGAATCAATTATATCATTGATACTCGTAACATGTATTTACTATGCCAATTTATGACATTATGCCTCGCTTCCATCGATTTGAATCGTTTGTGAATCATCTTGTGCTATTTTACCTGTGTATACAGTAGGAAGTTATTAAAATTCAGTTATAATTATAGTTATTGCTATTACTTTTACATTCAAACATAAGCATTTTCATACATACATGCAACATATATACATATACGTACATACATACATACAAAAGGCACCCAATTATATAACACACATGTATGTGCCTGTAAACTATCATTTTCGTATTCATATATGCCTGAAATAAAAGTATGAATGTCTACAAATTTTCTCCTATGTATATAATATTTTCCCATCTCTATAGAGTACATATGTATCTATGTTGAATGAACTTCGTTCAGAGTTATTAGCTCATTGAAATTGAAAGTACCATTTCCAGACAGAATTATCACAGTAAGATACTGCTCTGCGATTGGTTTTATGTATGTTTTTGGAGTCATAAGAATACAAAGGTTAGATATTAAAACCAACCAATTAAATTCACCACTTGAATAAAACAAATTCACTCTTTTTCATAATAATCATAATAAAACGTTTCACAAAATAGAAATAACTAATTTCCCTTTCTGTTTCAAAGTCATTTTGATTATGAAAGATAATGTTCGGTTAAGATATCATTATGATAAGTAAGTAGATTAAACCAGATAAGAACGTCCAATATATAATTCAAATAACATCTTAGTAACTTTACTCAAAAAAAAGATGAAGCAGCAAACTAGCTTGTTAAACCCCATTTATATAAAAGTATTTCTCGCTGAAAAATTTCCATCATATCAGGACAAAATGACCGTCCAATGCTTCTAGGTATTCAGTGGTAGTCTAAAATTGATCGGTTGATGGTTCTAATAAAATTCAACAATTTTCACAACCCCAAACTGAAAAAAATATGGATATGGACGAAGAATATTATTTCCAATAAATTCTCTTCAAGTTCTACACTTATATTTCCAAATTAATAACCCAAAAAATGACTAGGTTTAAGGTTAATATATAAAGTGATAAATATATTTCTTGTTATATCCTAGTGAGTAGAAAAATTGTATTTCTGGTGTTTCGTGACTTAATGTAAGTCACTTCTTCAGAGTAAATGAATAACTGAATTAAATTAACCCAAGTCACGAAACGTCAGAAAAGCAATTTTTCTACTCACTGGGATATAACAAAAAATATATTTGTTATGAACTCTCTACTCCATGCTCAATTTATTTGAAACTATCAAGTTCAGCCTTGTCACTAAAACCTGTAAATGCATATAGTTTAAAATTATATCATGAGGATTTTAAATAGCTTATAATATAAAATAAAATTAACACCTTTGGATTTTGGATGAGTGGTCTAGAGTCTGTGTTCGCGCGTGATACGAAGGTTCTGGGTTCGGTTCCCACGTACGGAGTCGTGGATCCGCGCTTCTTGGGAGCCTCGTGTCATGAGGTGAAAGTTATTCGGCCTTTCCAGGTTTGTTCTGGCGGCCTAGTTAAGATCACTTCGGGATTTAAACTGTTAAACAACCTGTTTGTGTTGTGATGACTAGTATGCAATATTGACTTGAATTAGTTTATATGATAAAATTGTACGACAAATGATCAAAATAAATATAGGCAACATGAGGTTAAAGATAAAATTATAATCAAAGTTTAAAATGAATTTCTGATCAAAGATTACGTAATATAAAGAGTAATATGGATTAGGTAAAAAAATAGTAAATAAGAGTGGGTTCTAAATAAATTTCCTAAACATTTACAAATGTTAGAATAATTCTAACAATCCTAATATGCGAGAAAAATATAAATTTAAGCTGTGGAAATGCAAAGAGGAAGACTGCATGCTACATCAATCAAATTATGTCCTCATATCTTTAGAATAAGTATTAATTAACTTGGTCGAAAGAAAATAAGTTAGTTATATTTCTTCCGGATGTCAAGCTCCGACATTTTGATCCAAATAGCTGTTGATTCAGTCCTTTTAAAAATTCTTGATCTGATGGGTTTCGACAAGTGATTGTTAAATTCACGTGTTATAATATTAAACGATATATTTACCTTAAGCCTGGACATTTTTGTTATTGTTAATTCAGATGTATAACTGTAGAATCTCAAGAAAACTAATTCAAAAGTAATTCTGATGAAACTAGAAATCAGGGTGAGCGATAAACTTTAATTACTGACAAAATAATCATTGAAAAACAGGCTGTATTATTGGATTGTGTTAGTGGAAAATGGAGTATGGATAGTATTTTTTCTGTTATAGCTTGCTGATCTAAACGGATTTTGATAAAGCAAAACAATATGACAGTATTTTTCTGTTTTGAATCAGTCGATTTTAGAGAGTTGTCAAAATTAGTAAACTAATCAACATTTGCAAATTGTTCCATGTTTTCTCTGTTAAACAACAATAAACTTATCCTGGCTTGTATTTTTCAGAGACGAATAGTTGACGACTCTTCCAACGAACCTAGTACTTGGGTTTTATTTCCCGTAGTCTATTAATGATTTGTCTGAGTATTCATGTCTGAAATAACTTTACTATCTCTCTACCAAAACATATTCAACGTTTAAATAAAAATGATCATATAATCTTGCTTATCCACTTCCTACATATATCTGCAGTAATAATCGGCTTGATACCTCTGAATGTCTTTATCGCCTTTTGTGGTACATTTCTATGTTTAATCATTACCTAGCTTCCGTCCTTAACTTTAAATGGCAGTGCCTTGCAAGCATTCAGAAATGGGGTCGACATTATGTAAGCAAATTGTTGGTTAGTTCGTAAATGCTTTTGAATCATGAATACGAAATTACTATCTTTTTTATCTCTACAAAAATTATAGTAGTGTTCGTTTTCATAAAATACATTTTCTTGATGTTATACAGTGAACAATTTATTGTAAATAACTTTTCTAAATGAATAATCTGCCATCTGTTAAGAATACTCGACTGTGGTACTGAACAAATACGGTCGCAGTATTTGAGGAAGTATAACCTTACTAACGAATAGCCTTTCCTTATAAGTGTTCCGATGCACAATATTTAGGTCCATGGATTCATGGCGACCATGGAATTCGCACATAGAATGAGACTTTTCAGAAATACGATTCCACGGCCCACCAGGCCCTTGTGGATTTTTCGGTAAAACCTTAACCTTTTGACCACTAAGTTGAAAACTATATATTCACATCTATAAGTGACACTTAGCTTTTTAAAGAACCACCTACGAAAAAACTATACATCTCATTTGAATCGGTGGTTATAGAGATGATAATGATCATTCCAGGAATCACAAACTTAATAAATGATCTGGTACACATAATTCTATTCAAACCCCAGCCGAAGTAAAATTAGAATTTCGTTGAGATGAAAACATATAGTTTTGATAAATTCCATCTCTTCATTACATTTTATACATTTATCAAAAGAAATAAATTATTTTGGAAACAATTAGTTGGTTCAAATGAAAGTAGTCAAAGAACTTAAGTAGATTGATACTAAGTTACAGAAAATATCCCATTAAATAGTCACTGACTAATGAAGCATAATGTTAACTGTTACTGAACTGCAACTGGATTTACATAATGTTTCATTCATTCATATTACTAGGTTGTCCTTTTTGGAACAGGATTTCTCTATTTTATTTATTTTTACAACTTCATACGTTGCTAATGCACGTAGAAGAATGAACACACATGAAAAACGAGTCGAAATGTGCTAGTTTACATGGTTTTGACAGCTGAAAAACATTTTGCGTCTAATGATAGTAGGATAAGGGCGATTGTGACTGACTTTGTCATGATGGTACATAGTGAATGCCTTTGAACATTTTATATGTGAAAAACCAAGGAAATTTTTAAACCTGTTTTATTATAGTGAGACAAATAACTTATTAGTTATCTTACAATTATACCGTAGTACTTTGATTATCTACATTACGAATTGATGATCGATAGCGATTGCATACTAGGAGTTATTAGAAATCTGTTTCGTCTTGATATGAGGCTGACTCCTCTGCGAAATGCACTCACGAGCTCGTCATGAATCGAACCTAGGACTATAATGTCTCATCGCGA